AACCATCCTCAAACAGTTGTACCTTGGCCAAATCTTTGGCCACATAATCATCGATAAAACATGTCAATTGAGTGAACTTGGCCACATATTTCATGATCGTCATCGTGCCTTTTTTCAAATCCAAAAACTCTCGGACTAGACTAGCCGAAGAGCTAATGAAAAATATTTGCCCATGAAGAGCTTACGGAACTCATCCCATGTCATCACCTCAACGTCTCTCAAGGTCCTTGCCCATATCCACCATTAATGGCCTCTCCCTCAAGTTGGAATGTAGGAAACCTAATCTTGCTAATGTCGAAGGTGATCTCCATTGCCTCCAAATATCTTGTTGACTTATTGGAACCAATGGTTGGCCACCATTGGATCCATTTCTCCCATAAACATTGGTGGCTTATGGGACTTAAACTTTTGTAAGTGACTTAAGCCCAACATTTTCATGTATTAAGTTAGCTGTCATTGTGCCCATAGCCTCCATGAAGACTTGTAGATCAAAAATTGGTGGTCGTGGTTGGTTGTTCCAGCTGCCCCGACTTCTGCATCCTCTAGTTGCCATCTATACACACACAAGATAGTAATAGACATCTAACTTAGCATCCCTGACTTAGGAATCGAAATTTATGACCGTACAAATTTTTTTTGAATAATTTTCCTTTATCCTACTGGTACATTGTACATTACCTAACAATAGGTACCCAAATAGAAAGCCATCTTGTCGGTAGGTCATGCATATCCTTTTGGTAGGTGGCTAGACTAGGAGTCAAGCTATTGGTTCCTTCTGACTTCCTACTGGTAGCTTAGGCCATAGAAGTCCTTCTTGTCGATAGGTTACTATCCTTCTACCGATAGGTTGTGTGACAGAAGTTCCCTTGTTCNCTGGTTCCTTCTGACTTCCTACTGGTAGCTTAGGCCATAGAAGTCCTTCCTGTCGATAGGTTACTATCCTTCTACCGATAGGTTGTGTGACAGAAGTTCCCTTGTTCTACCGATACCTTTTGCCTTCCTACTAGCAAGCAAAGTCATAGAAATTCTTCCTACTAGTAGATCACTGCACTCCTATCATCAAGCCCCAGAAGCTCTTCCTACTGGTAGGTATCTGCCTTCCTACCACTAGGTCAACCCTACAAGTTCTTCCTACCGGTAGGTCAAGCCCTAGAAGCTCTTCTTACTAGTAGGAATGCCCAGATTCCTACTATTTTTCCTTTTCAACTCTAAAGTTATGTTCTCTAACCCTAGACTCCTTTATACATTTAGTCATGCATATAATTCACATAAAATCACATAACACGTATCTCATGTAATATGCAATGCTCAATAGATGCAATGGCAAGACCCATGCCCCGCAAGACCCAAGTAAATCGAGAACCTAGACCCTGAAACCAAACTATGATGCCCCGACACCCAGGTCTCATTACTCAATCCGTTGATCACTCATCAACCCACAGAATAACCTGTGTTACCCCATATCTCGATAACATGTTAAACTGCCCCATTCACTGGGTCCTTAACTTAAAAATAATCTGGGCAAAGTTTACCATGCACGGGGAGCTCTACCTAACACACAGTCCCTTATGTATTATATAATCATATGACCACATTATGTCCAACATTGATATCCATTTAATATCACATTGAATACCAACATCATTCATAAAAGAATAATATCCATAAGAGTCTCATTACATGCCTTTAATAAAATACAAGTTTTGTACATAAAAATATACGAGGCCAAAATGTAATTATATACAAGGGACTACAAAATCCATATCAAGAGCCATAACCTAGCTATGTCCTCAAAGAGGTCCCAAGTTAGGGTCGTCAGTGGACGTCTGTCCAACACCTGAAATATATCCCCATAAATGAGTCATGCTTAATAGGGTATTTCCTATGGAGATCACTTTCCAACCCAAATGTATATGAAATGTCACATGTCAAACATCCATCACAAAAATATATATATTTCATAAACGAATACTTCAATTCCATGTCATACTATGAGATGAGAACTCACGCATGCAATACAACATTGAGCCCCACCAGCTCCCATAACACATGCAATGTCATGCATATGAATCTGGGCATTTCAAGCCCCCGCTATTGATGTTAGGCACCCAATGACTATTTTATAAACATTTGTGTCTTTCTGGGGTAGGTATTTTATGGACTTACACTAATTGTTACCAAACTGACACAAAATTTTAGGACTTCTACCTATGGTTCTATGCACACCAACACACCTTATAGACTCAATACAAATGATAGTGCATATCCAAAATTATCGGGTCTTGTACCCGAAGATGAATCTAGCCCTTTTTGGTAACCCGACATTCTTTTTCAATGTAAACCCGCGCGACTCAGACAAACCTAAATTCAACTTTCTCAAGCCCACGTATCAATCCACTAAGTATGGTGGTTGATTAAAAATATGAACACACACATATACTCATGTCAGATGCCCTCGATTGCGACACTACCCGTGCTTGTGCAAATGACATATGCAATTATAATTCATATCATCATGCTCATCATATCATGAATCATATAATAAACATGTCAATTTTCATAAACGTTCTCAATCATGTCATATATAGTTACAAGCCAATAAACATAGTTGAACCCTAATCATTTTATCAAAACACTTAGAAAGCATGAAATGTAAACACATAACATACTCACAACAAAGCCTCATAAGCTTTTTACCGATAGGTAGTGCCTTTCCTACCAGTAGATTCAGATTTTGCGCCATTTTTCATACATCACCCAAATCAAACTCAAAATGGATTTTACAGGTTCTCATACTCATTTTTTAAGCCCCTAGTTACACTACGTGTGGTCTAGCCTAAAAGATTTCATCCTTAAGGCTATACCCATTTCAAAAACAACCATAGGTTAGAAATAAACCTACATAGGAGGGAACCCTACTTCTTATAGTGTGCACATGAGGTAGATCGACTCCTCATGATACCAAACGATACTTTGTTCAACCTCTAGTCAAAAAACCAACTTTCATATGTCGAAAACGGACTTGGTTGGTACTAGCACGTAACCCTCATTGTTGTGAGCAACTTTAATTTTTGCCCCAACTTGATCCATCAGATGGATCATTGTACATCGAAGGAAGAAGAAAAGAAGTTGGAGAAGCTCTCTTCATCACTAAAATATGTGGAGAAAATGCTTGGAAGATTAAAGTCTTCCATTTTAACTTTCTATATATACTAGGCTCATATTGAGCCACATGTCACCTTCTTATTGGTCAAATTTTATCTCAACCAATTACATTTCACCACATGTCATGTTTAATATAATTTTATAAGATTTAATTTAGATTATATTATGGGTTCTGCAATTAAAATTTGATCGCATAATTTTAATGGCACTATATATGATCGCATTGTAACACTCAAAAATTCGATTGTCTCGGAATTCGATGAAAATTGACTGGTTAGCCTAATTTCGTAAGACGAATCTAATGATGGGGTCTATTTTTTCATCCGAGTTCCATAAAAACTTAGGTTTTTAACCCGTGCTTTAAGGACTAATTACCATTTTATCCCTTTAATTAAAATTCAAATTTTTTCAAGGTTTCACAATCCTTGGTCACCATTGTCATTAGGCTTTGCTGGATTTTTGAATTGAGAGATCCGAGGAAGAGAATGTCCCACTGGGTGTGCTAGAAATATGTACCGACAAATTAAATATGTAGCATAACACAAAATAAGGTCAAATTACAATTGTTAGATTTAAATAGAAAAGTTGTGTCAACTCTCTTCGGCATGTTTCTCACATGCATTGTCATCTGATTCTTGGTGGATTTGGTGATGATGGGGGCCAGATTGCGTGATTATTGATCTTCAACTTGATAATGGCTTTGATAGATTAGGTAAAAATGAGAGTTTAATCAACGTGATTCTCGATCTTCAATTTGGTGATTCTTTGATGGATTAGGTGAAGGCGAGGGCTCAATTAGCATGACTCTTGTTTTTCAATTTGATGGATTCTGTGAAGATGAGGGCTCAATTAGCATGGTTATCAGTCTTCTATTTGGTGGTAACTTTGTTGAATTTGATGAACACGAGGTTAGATTGAATTTGGATCTTTGATTAGGTTTTGGTTTTGACCTTGGTAGATCTTCTCACCATTCTTTGTAAGGATCATCTTGAAGATGACTTAAAGGATCTCTTGTGTACTCTTCATCTCAAAGATGAATTTGTAAGAATTTGGTTGGAGTTAGATTCAAGCAAAACTTCACTGCTGATTTGCCTTTCTCCTTTTGATATAGACTTGGACAGAGTTTTCTTAATCTTCCATTCTCCTCGGCCTTTCCTTTGGTCACCTTCTTGGCTTCCCACCATACTCATATTTATAGTGTCGGGAGTAGTTATCTTATAATTTTACCTGAATACCCTTGTATATGCTTTAACTATTAGGACACCCATATTTATTTAAATTTATGGGCTTCAATGGACTTATATTAATTGGACTTACAGAATTTAAGTCTAATTTAATTTAATTTGACAAGCCTAATTAATTACATGTGGGTTTGCATTATTTGGACTTAAGAAATTTAATTCCAACCCAATTTAATTTTAAAAAATTATTTAATTTTATAAAATTATTTAATTGTATTTGGACATAACAATAAACTAAATTTTTAGGGTCTTCAGTATGAAGAAAAAATTACTTTTGTCCATCCTATTGGTAAGACAGAAAGAATATAGATAAATAATTTTTTAATATTTTTTTTCGTAATAATAAATAAAACCATTGACTGTCTGTTTTACCATAATACCCTCATTTTTACTCACAAAATTTCCTTTTTATTTTTTTCTTCCAAGTATGTGAACAATTATTATGCCCTATGGACAAAAAAACATATTTCCGCTAAAATGGTACAAATTTCAAAGAGCACACTTTCGCTTTATATTGGCAAAAATTGAACTTTGGAGAAACGATTCCACAAAACTCAAAACTCTAAAATCAAACATGCAATTGCCTCTATGTGAAAGAATTTATGCACAACTTTATGTTTTGTTCAAACTGTATATACAGAGTGAAAATGCGACATCCAAATAACTGGTAATTCTAAGTAACAATCAACCACCAGCAGAAAATGATTTCGGGGAGGCTTGTAAAGTATTGGACTTGAAACTTCTGAATGCAGTATACCCCTATGGACATCTTCATGACCATTGAGCTTCTTGTGAATGATCCTAATATCATCTCTTCGGCAACCAATAAGGAATAACAAATAGAGATAAGCAAAAAGTCCTTTTTTTTTTTGTTTTGGGGTAAATTTGATCCATAAAAAAAAAAAAATGCCGCCTTCTGATACATTTTATTGTCAAAGGAGGGCACTCCAAAGAGCACCAGCATCTTCACCACACCTTGCATGCACATCCTTGATTCTTTCCACTGATTTACAAACTCCACTGCAGCTCCAATCAAACGATGCTATGCAAACATTACCTGCTTGTGCCTTCCACTCGCAATCTGAAAAGACCGAATCATTTAGAAACACAACTGAGAGCTCAAGAAGAAGAATAAACCTAAAAAAAAGGCATACCAGGTGGAGTTCCACAACACATGTTACGATCATCAATGTGCTCAACCTCGAGACCAATAAACCAGGCACCAAGTGAAACGTCTTCATTTGCATACTTATGCAGTATGGGCCTGACAACCAGAATCACCAAATCTTTAGCATTAATGGGACTAAACATGGTAGTAGTGGTCAAAAGTTTGGGGATTTTGGCTAATTGTAGACAGCTATAACAGTTGCATCAGCAAATAAAATTTCGTTTTTTCTCCTTATTTTTCATCATATATTTCAACTGAAAAGGTTTGATAGATTAAATATTAGCTGGCATAAACGTGGTGGTTTTATGCTGTTCTTATCAAAAGTAAAGTTTTCCATTTCAATAAAGGACAGAATATTGTTATAGGGTCCCTTTATGATAAAGAGAACCAAGAACAAAGTCTTACTGGTTAACAGAGATATATGTAGCCAGATCCTTTGAAATAGCATATATCTGCCCAGTTGCATGTCGGAAGTACTTATTTCCCTCCTCACCAAATTTCCAGTATTCAGGTTCATGATATTTGACGTTCCTACAGAGGCAACAAGAAGTAAGACATGAGACATAACATCAAGTATAAACGCCTACACTGTGACTTTAAAATAGGACAAAGTACACTTTTCATCCTTATACTATGGCTCCAATGTTACTTCACTTACTCTACTACAGGGTTTCAGACATTGGCATCTCAACTACTTTAATTGGTTTAATATTTGCCAAAACAAAACGTCCAATCATATTTTGGATGGAAATACCCCTGGCCATTAGATTTTGAGGCAGTGAAATTAAATCAGATAGTTCAGGGGACAAAATGACCCTACTCTACTTCCAATTAGTAATGGACTTATGCAATTGGGATAATGTGAAATCAATAAACATACTGGGAGGTTCAGTATGAGAATTGTTGGGCAATGTGACACGTGCACCGGTGAAGGGGCAGAATTTATTTTAGCCTTCAAAATATATGCTTCTGTAAATATGTAGTACAAAAGCTTTAAGAGGTTTTACTTTTGGGAGAGAACTGGTCCGGATTTCATACATCCTATATAAACCCGTGGCCTTGTCCGGTGGCGAGCAAGAGTTGTGGCTAGCATTCCTGTATCATCAAAACAAGTAGAGAGCTTCAGTCCGGTAATGATACTCAGATGGGGCCAACATTAAAGCTTGTAGAGCCAGACTCTAAACCCCAATAAACGTGGTCATGACAGCTCTATCTGGTATTTAGAAACCAAATGTCAGGATGGAAACCAAAATGAAAGAGGAGCACCCACCCAAATTGACATGAACATCATCATCCACTTTGACATAGAAGTCGGCATCCCATTTGGCAACTGCAGTTGAGAAGAATATTTTTGTCTTTGCAGATAACTCATGATACCCTTCAACATGTTCCTGTAACAATAATATCGGAAGTATATGACAAAGTTGAGACTGTAGTCATCAAATGTTCGTATATTTCTCATTGATACAGAAACATTGTGTTTTTCTTACAAGCCTGAGAAAGTCCTTATGCTGAGCGTCTTCTGAGTCAATTGCTCGATCTAAAATACTGTTGGATGTTGCGCTGAGTCAAATAGTAAAAAAGGGGTTACTTTTTCTTCCGGACAATATAATTTCCCTGAACATAAACATGGGTACCAGAGACTGAAGGTTTCAAATATGACAAAGTAAGATAAAAGGATGGAAGTTGTTGATTGTTGTCTCAAATTGTTCTTTTCTTGCCATCTCTATTGATTAATGAATTTCTTGCTTTCAATTTTCCAATTTACCCCAAAATTTGGTATTAATGCCACAAAATTATGCTGGGAGGTTTAGACTATGTACAAACCTAACCCCTATATGTTATGCATAAAATGGCTTCCTCAAAACATGAATATGTTTCTATGGCTTGACAAAACAGTTCATCTCATTATATCTTAGCTTCAGATGTTGTTCTTCTTCTTTACTGTCAAATTAAGATGTGTGAAACAAAGAGCATCTCAATTTGGCACAAATGTCATATTCACACTACGGGCCATAGATCAGTCAATCACCTCTGGCAGACTTTATTTTCTACATTATGTCGGTCCACCTTGTCGTTTCATCATTTTTTGCCAATCATCACTCTTCAGTTTATTAGCTGTGCAAGGAAATTTGATCAAACAATATACATGCCGGTAAACAAAGTGCTCCAAAACAGCCTGCCTGATTGAAATAGAGCATTTCTGAGACATTCCCTTATATATGCCCCATTTCCCTATGATTTGCAAACCATAGAGAAAGCCCATGGCCAACTATTATTTGGATAGAGTAAAACCTTCCCACCACAAGCATGCATATATTTTTCAAAAATATCACTATCCAGAGTACTCCTAGTCAACTAACTCTAGCACCTGAAATAGGATAATGATATGGCGAAGCAGTTTCAGAAATAAAAAGCGTAACAAACTAATAATTAAGCAGAGATCCTTCTTTACTATGACGAGTCAAAGAATCAAATTTACTCATCGTACTGAATGACATTAACATGTAGGTGCAACAAAGACAGTCATTAGACACCACAGTCAGTTTGCTCTTGTTTAAATAACTAGTAAACAACATTTTTTGCTCATGATGTTTTGTCATCAAAAAAAAGTTTACTCTTCTTTTGTCCCATACCACATTTAATAATCTCTATGGCCGTTCCACAATATTAACAAGCCAACCAAGGGAATGGCCTGAATAGAATCCTAGTGAATCAAGATCCAGGTAATCAATTGGTACAGAAAGATTAAATTTGGGAAAACCACTGTTCCTAGCAGCTTCATGCCCGTAGGATCATGTGAATGTACACTCACACTTCTACAGTCATCTGCCAAGTAATCAATGAAAATTTTGGTTGAACATTTCTACCCTAGAGTAAAACAATCTCCTGTGTGTAACGTGATTATTTTCCCAAGACGATCATGATTTATGCATGATCTAAAGAAGCTAAAAATTGTATATTCTAACAAGAAAAGCTAACTGAGAAGTGAAAAAAGAACCCCTAAAAACAGTTTCAATCCTATTTAAAGAAATAAACGAAGCACCTTACATGACTTGCCAAGCCCAATTCTGGTGCATATATGCAGTATGGAGACAAGAAAGGTTCAAGAATCCATCAACGTCTCAGATCAAAACACTCACAAAGAAAAGGGATGTATGAAAATAAGCCAAGACAATGTCACAGTAAGCTGATCTGATTGGAACTTTTAAAGCATTCAAACCTAATACAAAATCACTTTCACGTATTCAATCAAACTTAAAGGTGGAAGAGAATGAAGCCGATAGTGAACAACGGGAAACATAAATGGATAAGATTGATTGATCCTCTCTGGAATCTATTGTTAAACAATTGCTAAACTTGGTGAATTATTAAGGTTGAAATTAGGGGAACTAAAAGTGAATATATGTACACTAGATTGGTGTTTTTCATTAACAGCCAGGGGCTGCAATAATGATCTCAGCGTTTCATTTCTTGAAATATTAGTCCACCCATCTCCATTCAGACAGTAAAAAGTGAAAACAGATTTCAAGAGAAACAGTAATCAAGGTGCAACATATAACGATGGCAGGTGCCTGAAAAAATCATGACATCCTTAAATGAACAAGATATGAAGTTCAATGAAACTGTATTTTACCTGTGGCCAATCATGAAACGGACAACAATGCCCTTTTCTTGCTCTAGTTGAAGTAGCTTCTCACCTAGTCAAATATCAACAAAATGATGCACATTTTAAGCAAATAAAACGATGGATAGGTAACCAAAAAATATCAGACAGAGTATTAAGACCTCGAGGCATCCAGGTTTCTCTAACTGAATCACGTCTCTTTCTGCTACTGAAAGCAGTGTTTATCCCGATAATCATAAATGCTTTTTTCCTTGGTGCAGTGGTATCCGAATATGTCTTGATAGTGGTGGGTCGATTCTCCAGGATCCCCGTTTCAGTGGATCTACTGGTGGAAGGTAACTCGATCCGAAGCTTAGCAATTGAATTGTCCAATGATCTGATAGACCTCCAACAAATACACAACACATCAATATTAACTATACATCAGGTGAAAAAGAAAAATACAAGATGGAACTCATTACATGTTTGATTCAATTTATGTCTGCTGTGTTTCCTTTTAGTTTTTATTTTTTCATATAATTTGGAAGATGAATTTTTGGGTCCAAGTTCAATATTGAACATAACAAACTTACACAAAATTACAATTTAGAATGCGCAATCAATTAATAAACTCACTGAATAGCTCCATGGGCTTTGTGAAACTCTCCCATAATATCCTTATCCTGATCAAACAAAAATGATAATCAGAACAATAATACACATAAATAGGTAATCAAATGCATAATGTGATACAACAGCATATTATAATGAAATAAATGGACCTTCTTTGTTGAACAGTCCTCAGAAACATCTCGCAATTCTTGATCATGTCGCCGTCTCGACATGATCTGACCGTCGGACTCAAAAGGCCATACTCTGCAGCATAAGGCATCCAAAATAACATCAAAATCATATATCAAGCCAACCAAACAGCTTCTTGAAAACCCATCAAACATAAACTCTGCAACTAGATATAAAAGAAAATTGCAAAGAGAAAACCCCTTTGCAGGGACACCACCATTTGCAGATGTCTATCAGAAAGCAATAGCACATTAAGAAGGGAAATTTCGCGTCAAATCACAAGAAAAATGACGAACAAATCATGGGCACCCACCCACCCAAAAAAAAAAAACATATAGGGGGTTATTGCCTGTGACAAAATTGTCATTCCAACAACCATAAGGTCGTGGTAGGAATATGAGCTCAGCCTTTTTAGATATATAGCTAGTTCATCGCCCCATCACCCTCGATTACCGGGACGAAACTGGGTACAGGGGAGGGAGAGAGAGACCTGTTGGTGAAGAGCATGCCAAGAGCGAAGCTGAAGATGCAGAGAATGATAATCCATTTGAGTGAAACTTTCCTACTGTTTCGGGTCTTCATGTGCTTGGCCGTTGTAGAGCAACAGAAAGCGAGGAGAATTCTGCGTGCTTCAGCAACAGGTCTAAAAGGACTATATTTTGGAGGTCAGTTCTGTATGAACTCAAATATGAGAATATAACCAATGACAGTAAGGCTGCGTTTGTTTACCGTTGATTGTTTACAATGGTTTTGTAGGACTCCGTAATTCGATGATTTCAAGTCACAACCGGACTACATGAAGTTTCTCCGCAATCACGGAAGGCCGAGTTTGGTTTGATTTGAAAAAAATTGGTTGTTATTTCATGACTAGTTGACTTGTCGTTTTCCATACGTTATTGACAAAGAACTGGTCTTGGAATTAGTAGACGTCAAGTGTGTGAACCAAATTGGGGTGCCAAATCGCAGGAATTATTGTGAAATGCCGTGTTGTTAGGTCCAAGTCCTAAATCGACAATTGGATGATTTGGAATAGGAGCATATTATATTTCAATCCCTTGCACTAATTAGCTCATTTCAATTTGTTCTTAAACTAATGATCTCATTTCACTTTTTCCCTAAATTATCTATTTTTTTCATATTGAGTTTTAAACTAATGTTTTGAGTTTTACATAACGCTAGTCGTTAAATTCTATACAATTTTCCATGGCAAGCGAGAGCAAAAATATATATATATATGGTGTCTCCAAGTTAAGAAGGGAAAGGCNTCATATTGAGTTTTAAACTAATGTTTTGAGTTTTACATAACGCTAGTCGTTAAATTCTATACAATTTTCCATGCCAAGCGAGAGCAAAAATATATATATATATGGTGTCTCCAAGTTAAGAAGGGAAAGGCCACATCTTTTAACATTTTCAAATCCTATTTTTGTCTTGATATATTATAAAAATTAGACAAAAATGAACAGTGACTGAAGAGACATAAAACGACTGTACATGAATGAGACCACATGTCTTAAAGCACGTGACAAAGAAACACTTGGAGAACTATAGTCTCCATTACAACCAACCAAGCAGATGGCTAAAGTATTCAGCTGAATACTTTGAGTTGTCAATATAACCAAACCAAAAACAAGATCAAGCAGAGCTCACAAATGATCTTTCAAACGGAATCATTCAGTAAATGAGATACCTAGGCTATTCCGAAAAATCAGAGATAGGGTTGGATTGATAAAAACATGGCTTAAATCAAGGGTGAATCCAGAAATTTCTACTTGGGTGGGCACTAACTAGAGAGAAAGACAGAGAGAGAGAGAGATTATTGTATAGTAGTAGTTGTGGTGTTGTTTGTGGGTGGATCTATGGAGGACAACTCAAGGTAATTTGAGGCCTAAAGCTAAAATATGAAGTGATATTTTTTTATTTTTAGCATTAAGTTTTTTTAAAAATTAATTAATTTTTAATTTTTTATGTTAGAGATAGATAGAAGAAGGATATGCTAGTATTGTCGAAAAAGAGATTTCAACTTTTATTTTTGTTTTTTTTTTGCCGGAGAGAAAATGAGTGAGGATAAATATGATTTTTTTTGAATACTTTTTTGTATTTTTAACTTCTAGTTTTTAGGTTTCTAATGTTATGGATTAGATCAGGACCAAAATTATTACAATAAAATTTTTTATTAGACTTAATTTTTTGGGACTTTTTTGAGGGCTTAAAATTTAATGGATTTAAATATTTTGTGGGCTAGTAAAGTTCCTAAAATTATGGGGTTCTTTAAAAATTTGGAACCTAAAACCTAGGCTTTATTTTAAATATTGTTGGCCTGACCCTGAATCCATGGATTCCATGTCTTACCAGAGAAGACACACAGATAGAAGAGGGGTAGATAGATTGTTGGGTGGGAGAAGGAGATGGAGAGAGAGAAGCAGAGAGGAAGGGGTGTTGTCTGACGTGAGGCATGAGGGACTAAGAAATCTTTTTTTCGAGATGAAGGTAACAAAAAAAAAAAATTGGTCCAAGACATCAGCCTTCACATGGACAAGGAATTAGTGGGACCACGTCTTTTTCTCTCTTTTTTTTTTTGAATGGGCACAACTCTTTTTCTTTGATTTGGGTGGGCACAACTGAGACAATTAAACAATCAAAATAAAATATATGTAGGTAATTTAAAAAAAAATTCCAGGGTGGGCAAGTGCCCCCTCTGGCCCAATGACAACTCTGCCCTCGTCTTAAATCATAAGTGAACATTATCAACGTGTCCTAATAAATAGACAAATGAGAGAGTTGAGAGAAATTCTAGCATCAATCGAATGTAATCCGGGTAAGAGTTAGGTGTACCATCTAATATAGTTAATAGTGAAAATCTTGGCAGAAAAATTGTCATGCAACGATATAAAATACTAGGTGACACATGAGTCTGAGGTACGCACTGTTTTCCCTGCTATTTTGCATATTTACTGCTAAAGCTCTTACTAACCTAAGTATTGGAGTGCCTCAGGCTAGCCCAACCCTGGTCTTTGACAATTTTCTCATTTTGTAGGAAGAATAGTGCAACTTATGTTTGTTTTGCCAAGTCAAATTCTAAATCCTAAGGTAAGGGATTTTTTCCTTTTACAATTGGCATCGTTTGTGTGAACTATCAAACAAAAAAAATCATGTCAAGACTACGAAGTGCAATTGGATCACCGTGCATAAATCAAGATCATGTTGAGGATGAAACTGGACATAACCACTGTAAAATCCAAAAATAAAATAAAATTTTATTTAAAAAGGGTAAAATGATAATTAGCTGTTATGGTACGGGTTAAAAATCCAAATTTCTAGAACTTAGATGACGACACGAATCTCACCGTTGGATTTGTCTTCTGAAATCTAATTACTCAGTCAATTTTTATCGCTCAACTAAAATAATGCGATCAAATTTTATTCGCAATACTAGGGAAATAATTTAAAGTTACATCAATAAAAATTTAATAAACATAACACGGGATGAGATTTAATTGATTCGGGATAAAATTGGACTAATCAAAAAAGGGACGTGTGGCGTTTTGTAGGCCAAGTAATTGAAGGGTATAAAAAAGGGAGAAAAATTAGATTTTCCCCAATTGTCTTCAGCCATTCCGAAAAAGCGAGAAAGAGAGAAGAGAGAAAAACAAAGCTCTCTTACATTCTTCCTTCGATCTACGACGATCCAACTATCAAATTGCTTCGGGCCAAGAGATAAAGTCACTCTACGTAAAGAAACCTACAAAACTATATCAAAGATCGTAAGTTTCACCAAGATCTCAAGGACGAAAAATTCAGAATAAAGATTTAGAAGCCTGATTTGAGTCCTTTGGGGCTTCTTCTCCACGTATATATGCTACAAGAGATAGGGTTCCTTTCCTAAATATGTTTATTTCTAATCTAGGGTTGAAATCTGAAATGGATAGGGTGTTAAAGATGAGTTCTCATGTATAACACATACCTAAGGTGTTAGAATATGAAAAATGGGTATAAGAATGTGTTAAAATCAATTCTTGTATGATTTAGGTTTGATAAAATTGCTTGGTTTTTAATTTCATAAAGAATATGATATTTTGGGCATGCTATGTGTTTACAAAATTTTGCCTATTAAGTATTTGAAAAATGCTTATGAATTCAAGTATGTTAATTGGGTTGATATCACATGTAATATGCTTGGGATTGCTTGTGGAAAATGATATGTTAATTATATGCTTTATGTGATGAGCATGTGATAGAAATTTCAATTATACAATTTGATTGCATAATGATATGAAATGTAATTATGCATTAGATTTGTATATGCACAGGTAACATCGCATTTGTGGGCATTCGACATGAGTGTGGGTGTGTGTGCATACTTTTGATCAAACACCATCTTTGGTGGGTTGATACATGGGTTCGAAAAAGTTGAACCTAGGTTCGACTAAGTCTTATGGGTTTGCATTGAAAATATGTGTCAGGATTAGCAAGAAAGATTAGATTCTTTCTCGGGTGCAAGCCCTAGTAAATTTTAGATACGCACTCTAGTTGGTATTGAATCCACAAAGTATCTCGATGTGCGCAGAACCGTTGGTGAAAGTTCATAGATGTCATGTTGGTTAGGTGATCGTTGGTGAAAGTCCATAAATACCCACCTCAAGAAAGGCACAATATTTTATAAAATGGTCATTGAATGTATAACATCAATAGCAGGGGCTTGAAATACCCGAATACTTACACATGGCATGACATGTGTTATGGGAGCCGGTGGAGAGCTCGAGTTTGCATTGCATGCGTGGTTTTCACCTCATGACATGACATTAAATAATAACATTCATTTATGACATATATGTTTTGAATGGATAATTCATGTGATGAGTTTCATGTGATATTTTAAATGCATCTAGCTTAAGGAGTAGTCACGCTTAATAGATATCCTATTGAGCGTGACTCACCCTTAATGAGGACATATTTCAAGTGTTGGACAAGCCTCAGTGGATGACCCTCACTTAGGCTTGTGTTGAAGAAAGAGCTGGTTTGTGGTTCTTAAATTGAATTTTGTAATCAATTTTGTAATTGTGTTTTGGCCTTGTATTAATCATGCACAAAAATTGTATTTTGACTAAGGCATGCAATGAGACATTATTCTTTTTGTAAAACAAATAAATAGAATAGATGTTGAATGAGTTATTGAGTTAAAAGTTGGATTTTGTAGAGTTTAGGTAAAATATGGGCTCTGTACCTGGCATCTAGAGAACTCAAATAATGGTACCTAGGCTCACAAGTGCCAGTACCACTCTGTCGAGGGCCTAGGTACTGGTACCTAGAAATCAGCGAGCTTAGATATCGGTACCACATACCCAAGGTACTCGTACCTCTTCCCAAAAATAGTAAATTTAAATGTAATCATGCTGAGCCTTTGCATCTTGAACTCTTTTCTTTGGATGATATAAATGGTTAAATATTAAGTCCTAAACTTGGGATTTGGACCTGGGAATGGTCATATGGTTATTATCTGGACATGTTTTTGTTTTGGGTAGTGCTCATGTGCAAAGAAGACCCTGCCCCGAATTTCATTTGGTTATGATCCCAATGAATGTGGTGTAATAACGTGGTATCGGGTTATATGATATCCACGGATATTCTGCGGGTTGACGGGTGATCAACAAATTGAGAATAGACCCCCAAGTTTTAGGATGTCACAACCATAGGGTATCCCTCCCCTCGAATAGTGATATCATGGAGGACACAGATAGAAGTATGGATGAAAATCAAGACGATCATGACAATCTATCATCAAAGAGGATACTATCCGGAAGAAG